CCCGACAACCCACCCCCGTTGCAGAAGTCCCAGCCAAGGGCTTTGTCCCACTCCTCTGCCCCCGAGGTCGCAAAAGCCAGACCCGGAGGAGTGCTGGTGGGGGGCAGCAGGGGGGCCTTGGCTCCTGGCCCTGCCAGGCCTTGCCAGGAAAAGCGGGGGAGCCTTACCCAGGGAGGTAGTGTGGCTCTGGGGTCATCAGAACCTGGCTGACTTTGGGGGCAAACGCGGGGGCCATGATCCGCAGAGCCGCTGGTGTGGCTGGAGTGAGCGGAGGCTGGGCAGGGCTTTGCACATGAGCTCCGCTGGGGAGGAGGAGCCGGAACTGAGCTGCTGCCCAGGGAAACCATCGCTGGGCAGAACACTCTGCCAGCCTTGCCAGGCAGGGGGAAAAAGTCGACCAGGACACATAAAGCGGGGGAGAGAGGGGGAGGTCCTGGCTGCGTTCAGTGCTGGGGGAAAACTGACCCCTTCTCTCCCGTCAAGCTGCCTTTTGCTGGAAGCCCAAGCACCTCAGAATGAAGCCCTCTCTTATCAGGAAAGGCCAGGGGGCAAGGAGAGCACCCTGCCAGGGTGCCCTCACCCCAAGAGAGCTGGGCATGGTGGCGGAAAGGCCCAGGCCAAGGCCCAGGGAGAAGACAGTCCTGTGGGGAAAAGCCGGAGGGTCTGCCGTGGCAGAGCCCGGGAGGGGAGCCCCCCTCTTTCTCTGTCCCTTGGCTCAGATCCGGCCTTAGGCTGAGCGAGCAGCAGCAGCACGAAGAGGAGGGGTAAAGGAGCGGGAAGAGCGGCACCAGGGTTGGCATGGCTGTCTGGGACTTCTGGGGGGCACAGCCAGGGAACATGCCAGGCGGCTCTTCCTTCTGTGTGAAGCTGAAAGGCGCCAGGAGGAAGGGGGGGGCTGGGCCGCCTCGCTTCAGCAGCCTGAGTGCTCCTGGAAATCAGCCCCCCCGGTGGGGAGGGTCTCCTCCTTAGCCAAGGGGGCTGCCCGAGACAAAGTCTCCCCAGAATGGAGGCCAGGCTGAGAGAAGGTGCCCAAGGGGGCAGCAGGCAGAAGGAGGGCAGGGGTTTAGGCTGGAGAATGGCATGGCCCACGCCAAGAAGCCGCAGCGTCCCAGAGCAGTTGTGGGGGAAGTAAGGAGAAGTCACCAAAGTCCAGGAAAAGGGTTGGGTTTTTTGGTCATTGTCTGCAGCACTTTCAGACCCTTCCCCTTTTAGAATCCCCCTCCCCTATCTTCATCTTCTTTCCCCATTAGTTCCTTCTGCCACCCATTCCTCTTTGGTTTTGCTCTGAAGTGCTCACATCTCTCTTTGGCGGTCCAGAGCATGGGTTTTTCCAGTGGCACCTGTAACACTGCAGGGACGCCAAACTGACCCCCCTCACGTGACGAGGTCATCATAGAAAGAATTCTTGACTTGACTGCCTAGAGATCATTGCATACGTTATCTGGTGCAAGTGGGCCAGTCTGCAGGCTCAGCCCTTCGCCCTTCCTTCTCAGGGCTGTTCAGATTCAGAGGAATCTCCCCAACGTTCCTGCTCCTTTGGCCCCTTCCCCTCTTCCAGGCCACGGTGACAGCCGAAGGCCTCGGCAGCTCATCTCGTCTCCAGCCCGTGGCTTGAACCAGGCTCTCCGATGGCCACACGTGGACCTGTTGGCCCAGTCCCGAAGCCTTTTCCGGAGTCTCTGATCCAGCAGGTAGGAAGGGAACAAGGCGCATCAGGATAGGGGTAAGACGTGCATTTATTTGAAAAGAGAAGCTGTAGGTTTTAGTTGGAAGTGTTCTTTTCACCAGAGCGCCTAATATTGGCTCTTTGACCCTTCTTGAGTTTGTAGGTTAGCTGAATGTGCACTTGGCCCCCCCCAGGGAGTGCTTGCCGGGGGCCCCTCTTGGCCTCACCACTGATGCCCGTCGCTTGCCTTGGCCCCATCGCCCAGCTCCGCCCAGGCCCAGCACAGCACCCTGTGAGGGTCCTCCGCAGGAAGGAGGGAGAGGGGGGCCCCAGGGATTTCTCATAATCCTGAAACTTTGGAGCTGGGGGGGCTCTAGATGGAACGGCGTTTCCACAGACCCTCGGCCCGGCCACTCTGCTTCCTATCAGGCTGCAGGGAAGCAGGAGAGGTGCAGGAGGAGCGGCAGAGGCTGCAGTGCTGCACCGAAAGGGTGGGTTGTTTGGAGAAGTCGCCCTGCCCAAGGAAAGCATTCAGGGCTTGACACACACCCTCAGCCAGGGAAATATTGACCAAAGAAGGGGGCAGGCCCCGTATCCATAGGCAGGTGAGGTTGTCTTCTGCTGGCTCCTTGGCAGCAAGTCACTCGCCGTGGGGGTGTTTCTGCAGGTGACAGCCCCGGGGTTCCCCTCCAACCACAAACCAGGTCCAGACCTGCTGGTGTCCCTGAGACCCACCCAGCCCCCTGGCTCAGGACAAATCCCCCCCCCCCGCCATGTCTGAACTGAGTGATCAGTTTGCTCACAGCTCCCCAGTCACATCAGGGGGCTGGAGACATGGGCTCACGTCCCACAGGAACTGGCAGAGAGCGCGTGGCCAGGCAAGTTGGGAGGTCAGAATCAAAGCGCAGCCTTTGCCAGGCCCTTGCCCTTTGGGTCGGTTTTGGGCCAGCTTGCTTTCCCAAGCAGCACATGCTCAAGTCACTTTCCCGAGTTCTGGATCATTTGATGCAGAGACTTAAGCAGGAAAGGAGCCCTTTCTCATCTGCTCCAGAGGGGCAGCTGGGGAGGGGGGCATTGGGACAGGAACCCGCTCCACAGCCCCCCCATGGCATGGATTTGAATGGGCGCTGCCATCCCATAGGCCACGTGGCAGTGAAAAGGGGTGGGGGGCAAAGTTCCGGCTGTTGGGCTGAGACCACCTGGGGTGATGGAATGTGGGGCCGAGCATGGGGGCCTTGAGGGGGCTGGCCTGGGACCATCATGCTCCCACCAGTGAGTCCTGGGGATGCAGGGTGCTTCTAGCCAGCCCAAAGCCTCAAAGCCTGTGGAGGGGGCTTCGTGGGCTCTGTGCTGGGAATTCTGGTCTGGGAGGCGAAGCAAGGCTGGCTGTGGCTCCAGGAGGGGAGAAGCCCCCTCTGAGAAGCCTCAGCGGTGGGGGGGCTTGCGGAGGAGGATTTGGGGGAAGGTCACAGAGGGGGATACTGTACAAGCAATTGGAGAGGGAAACCGCCATGCAAGGAGGGCAATGCATGGGCAGTGATTGAGAGAATTGGGGCAGCGAAAGTGCCCTGCCCACGGGTGTTGGCTTCTGCCCCAGGCTGGCCGGCTCTTGGGTAATGTCTGTCAGGCTACCGAGGAGCCCAAAGTAGAGGGGAAAACATTTTGGCAGTGACAAGCAGGGGGACCCCTGGGGGAAGCCCTGGGCAGGGTGTCCCGGAATGGAGATGAGCGGTTGGGGGCTGGCTTGGTGGCACAGCTGAAGGCCTTGGGCTAGGCTGCTTTTGGCGGACAGCAGATCCGTCTCCCGCAAGATCACGTTCGTCTCTGGCTTGGGATGGATGGGTGGATGAACAGTCTTGGCATGTATTGTGAAATCCTGGTTGGGCAAGGGGGGGCTGCCCTGTTTTAGGTCCTCCATCAGCCACCGCCCCCACCTTAAGGAAAGCAGGCTGGTGATGATTCTCCCAGAATCCGTGACGGTGGCCAGAGGTCCTGTCGCTGAGGTGACAGGCTGGGCATGTCTGTGGTCGAGACAGGCTGGGGGTCCTACTCTTGAGCCACCCACCTGGCTGCATGGCAGGATCCTCTGCTGAGCTCCTGACCTGACCGCTAGGCAGGTTTGGGGAGCCTCCCCGGTGTTGCTGCCGGAGACCTGTGTCTCCATGCTCTGGGCGAGAGTTCAAGGAAGGCCCAGGAGTTCGTGGCCATAATGGGGATGATGGCTTCTCCAGGTAGCTTCTAGCCTGACCCACACAGGTGGTCACGCATTTGACCTATTTTTACCTCAGAGCAGTTGGAACGTGATCTGGAACCAAGGGTGGTCATGCCTAGTCCTTTGCCATGACCAGATACCTCCCAGATCCAAATGAGGCTTCCTCCCCATGGACCTCACAGGCAGGCTAGTTAGGGTGGTCTGTCCCATGTCTTCCTAAGGGCCGCTGTGGGCGGTTTGTGCAACACTTCGCTGATAAAATAACTCCATTTGGCTCAGGTCTGCCCTCTGGTGAAGTGGCTTTTTGCAGGATTGTCTGGGTTGAAGTGGAGAAAACAATCGGGATCGAGCTGCAAGAGTGTATTTGCACACGGCTAAGGAAGGTAGCAACCGCTGTGGAAACATCGCCCAGGTGCAAGTTGGCTCATGTTCGGCAGAGCACCACAGAGATGACCTTGGAGAAGGGAGGCGGACGGTCAGCAACACAGGAGCCACCCCCAGGAAGGGAAGACGGCGTCAGAAAGAAACTAAGTGACCTGCCTTGCCTCTCCAAGGGCAAGAGGGAGGAAAAGCGCGAACCCTGGAGCCAAGATCAGCGAAGCCAGGTCCCAGGGCTTCTTGAGGAGCCCGTTTCTGGCCTTGCCTGAAAGACTGACACGTTCCTGGGAGGGAGAGGCAAGAGGCTGCACCCCCCACCCCGTCCCTGATGAGGAGGAAGAGCTAGATGTTTCCTGCTTTGATGACCCCCCCCCACACACACACGCTTGAAAGCGAAGGTGCTGCTGCGGGAATCCTCAAACTCAATAAGTCTCAG